TCTGCCTGCCCCCCCTGTCCTCACCCGTCCTCCCCCCCTCCGGCAGACATTCCCCGCCTGCGCGCCGGTGGCGTCGGTGGCCAGTTCTGGTCGGTCTACGTCCCCTGCAAGGCCAACTACAAGGAGTGGAGCGACGACGTCCTCCAGACCCTGGAGCAGATTGACCTGTCTCGCCGCATGATCTCCCACTACGATGATGTGCGCGGTGCCTTCCCTTTTTTTCTTCCCCCCTCCTCCCCCCCCTCCCGGACCGGCGCAGTCGACTGACCTCCCCTTTCCCCGGCGCCCGGTGCCACCCTCCCCACGGTGTAGACCTTCGCGTATGCCATCACCGCAAACGACATTCGCAAGGCCCTGTCCGAGGGCAAGATTGCCTCCCTGCTCGGTATCGAGGGTGGCCACCAGATTGATGGCTCGCTCTATGCGCTGCGCGCCGTGCGTTCCCCTCGGCCTTCTTCCCCTCCCCTCTGAAGCCCTTCTTCCTGCACCGGGTGCTTGCTGACACCTCGACCCATCGGTTGTCCTCCTGATCAATCTCCCCCTTCCTTTTCCGCTCGATCCTGCTCTCCCCGGTCCGACACAGATGTACGATCTGGGTGTCCGCTACATGACCCTCTCGCACAACTGCAACACCGCCTGGATCGATTCGGCCACCACCACCCCGGAGCACAACGGCCTGACCGAGTTCGGCGAGACCGTCGTCCGTGAGATGAACCGTCTTGGCATGCTCATCGACCTGTCCCACGTCTCGGCCAAGGCCATGGCCGACGTCCTGAGCGTCACCCAGGCCCCGGTCATCTTCTCCCACTCTTCGGCCTTCTCCGTCTGCGACCACGCCCGTAACGTCCCGGACCACCTCCTCCGCCAGGTTGCCACCAACAAGGGCATTGTCATGGTGCGTGAATGCCCCTCCCCCTGTTCCTCCCCCCCCCCCCCCCCCCCGCCGGGTACTTTCCCTCGCCCTAGTCTATCCCCACGTCTGACCTCCACACCATGTGTCCTTCTCCTTTCCCTTTCTCCCTCTCTCTCTCTCTCTCTCGCTCGCTCGCACGTGTGCCCATCTCGATCCCTTGTCATGCCTGTAGGTCAACTTTGCCTCCAAGTTCATCTGCTGCGCCGAGACCTCCTTCAACTGCACCTCTGTCGATGTGGCCGACCATGTTGATCAGATTGTCCGCGTCGCTGGCATTGACCACGTTGGTCTCGGGTGCGTCAATACTCCCTGCGCGCCTGTCTCTTTACCTCTCTCGCCCCGCGCATCATGGTACCGCCGACCATGCTTCTCTGACCCTCTCCCTCCCCTCTCCACAGTGGTGATTACGACGGTGTTCCCTTCCTGCCTTCCGACATGCAGGATGTCTCCACCTACCCCGTCCTTTTCGCCGAGCTCATGTCTCGCGGCTACTCCGATGAGGACCTGATCAAGGTGCATACTCATCGTTTTTGCCTCCCTTTTGCCGCTTTTGCTTCGTGGCTCCCCCTCCTGCTGCTCTCGCCCCGCAATCGATCAATGTCACTTACCCCCTTCATCCGCCTGATGGGCTCTACACACAGCTTTCCAACGCCAACATCATCCGTGTCCTGGAGGATGTTGAGCGTGTGGCCGCCCGCATTCAGATGAGCGGTGTCCTGCCCGATGAGACCAAGCAGCCGCACTTCGAGAAGGAGAACCCTCCCGCCGCTGTGGACGCTGAGTTCTAAACACCCCCCGCCTTGTTGTCTGTCAGTTATCCTCTCTCTCTCTCTCTCTCCCCCCCCCTCTCTCGACCTTGAAGGCAGCACGAATGTCCTTGCACCCGCGTTCCTTCCCCTGTCATTGACAGCCAATACACATGCTGTACTGTCTTCTTCCCTTCTGTCTCTTTCTCCCTTCCCTCTCCTGTTTATCAACTCCTCCCCTTGATACACATGCAAGCACGCACACACACACACACACACACACACACACACACACATACACGCCCAGCGGCGAAGCATTTCTTTTGAGAGGTAAGGTATATTCTACACGGTCGGCCGATATGTACACCGGGCAGCGATGGTGGTGGCCCTCTCCTCCTCCCCCTCAGTGTGTGTGAGAGAGGAGGATGGGGGCAAAAAGGAGGGCCATGAAAGGGGACCCTCCCCCTCAGCAAACAACGGCGCACATACTGCCGGGGATCGGGGACACGGAAAGGACGAGGACAGAGGCATGATGGGAAGAGGCGCCAGGACAGACGACGTGTGGGCGCATGCGCGAAGCAGCACATATACACATGTGCGTGTGTGCATACCCCCCCCCTCTCCCCGCTCACCAGATGATGACCTGCGAGCGGACGGTGAACTGCATGTTGCGGCGGATGCCCAGGCGCAGGCGCTCGTCCTGCTTGGCGCGCATCTGCCGGCGGATCTGGGCCCGCTGCAGCGGGCTCGGCACAAAGGCACCCGACGGGCTGTGGATGGCCATCGAAGAGTACCGGTGGGTGAGGACATTCATGTCCTCGGCATCGGTCTCCGGCCGATCGGGCAGGGTCTGCTTGTAGTAGCGAATCATGGACCGGTGAACGGCACGATGCCCGCTCGGCAGGGTCAGATGAAGGCCATCCTTGGTGGCCTGGCCCTGGTAGCGGCCATGGTAGTTGCCCACGCGCAGGTCCTCCTCGTTCTCCTCGTCGCCCTCCAGGTCGGAGTCGTCGTCCGAGTCGAGGAACACCTCGATATCGTCCCCGAGCAGGTCCTCCGGCACCGGGAGACCGCCCTTCTCGTACTCCTCGCGAGCGATGGCCCGCGCCTCGAGCAGGCGCGACCGCTTGGCCTCCAGCTTGGCATGGTGGCGATCATCGAAATCAGGGTACGACGGACGGTAGTCGTAGAAGTCCGTCAGCTCGGGCTCGGTGTCCTCGGCGAAGTAGACAATGCAGTGCCCGCGGTCGAGCATGTGCTTCTGCACGGCCTCCAGCGAGTGGAAGGACCGGCCACGGCCATTACAATAGAGGCAGACATTGCCGATGGAGATCTTCTCCGCCAGGTAGGTGAAGAGCCCCTCAAGGTCCACCACATACTTGAGGTCGGGAATGAAGAAGCTATGCTTCAGAGCCATGTGCTTGAGGTTGCTGTGCGGCGGACAAGGATCCGGGAGGCGGGGGAGGCGGGGGGAGGGTGAGGAGCGAGCACCGGGTGGAATGCATGTGGGTGAGCCAGCGGATGGCCCTCCGGGGGTGGGGGACCGACAGGACGCACCTCTGGAAGTCCTCGCTCTTGTGCAGACAGAAGAGGCACTCCTCGAGCTCGATCTTGCGGGCGCTGGCAATGATGCGATCGATTTCAGCGAGCTGAAGAGGCAAACGGGACACCGGGGGTTAGGTGGGCATGCATGAGGAGGGGCTCGGCGGAAAGAGGGGGGGGGGGAGAGGAAGCGGGAGGAGAGAAGGAGAAGGTAGCACAGGGCGGCACGCACCTCGCGCTCCTCCGGGGTCAGGCCATCGTCCTGCTTCTGCTCGGTGATGGCGGCCACGGACTTGTGCACGCGCGGGGCCTTGGCAACGTAGGTGCCCTCGGCCTTCTTCTTGTCCATGGCGGCCTGGGCCTCCTTGTGGCGGCGAGATTGGAAGTGGGTCTGGAAGGCGTTCTCCGAGGCATAGGTCTTGCTGTGGCCAGCCCCCGGGAGCGAGAGAGAGAGAGAGAGAGAGAGACGGCCCGGGCAATCCGAACACCAACAGCGGGAAACAACAGGGAAGGAGGGAAAGACAGAAGAACATGAAGTCAGAGGTACGCACCCGGAGCCGGAGGCTCCAACAATGGCCACACGCTCGCCAGCCTTCACCTTGAAGGAAAGCCCCTCGAAGATGCGCCGGCCATCAGCCCGGCCATAGCCGAAGGTGACATCACGGAACTCGATGGACCCGCCCTCGCCCGAGGCCGTGGACGCCGCTGCCGCCGCTGCAGAAGCCAGCCCAGGAGTCGAGGCAACGACCGGCGACCCGAGCACCAGTGGCCGCGCGTCCGGCGCGTCCTTCACCTTGATCGGCTCATTCTGCAAGCCGAACATGGCCTCCATGTCGGTCAGCGACTGGCGCGTTTCACGATACACGGTCCCGAGGAAATTCAGCGGCTGTGCCAGCTGCAGGACCAGGCCGTTGATCATGACCAGATCACCGACCGTGAGGGACTCTTTGGGCGGGGGGGGAAGAGAGAGAGAGAGAGAGAGAGGCGACCATGGGGCCGGTCAGTCGAAAGAGGCGACACCCAGCGAGGACAAGGCAGGGGGGTGGCAAGGGGAAGGAAGAAAGGGCCACGGAGGGTACGCACGTTCGGCCACACTTCGAGCGGCCATCATCATCATGCCGGTGATGGACAGGGTGAAGATCAAGCTCTGGCCAAAGTTCAGGAAGGCCAGGGAGGAATTGGTTGTCATGGCGGCCTTTTCGTAGGTGGCCAGGGCGCTGTCGTACTTTTGCAACTCGAAGCGCTCATTGTTGAAATGCTGAACAGTGTGGCGAGGGCGTCAGCCGGAGAAGGAAGGCACACAAGATAAACGGAGAAAGCAGGAGAAGGATGACCGCAGCCAGGGCGGGGGGGGGGGGGGGGGGGGGGGGGGGAGGGGGTGGGGGAGCTGGGGGGTGAAGGGAGGGGGGGGGGAAGGGAGAGGGGGGGGGGGGAGAGAGGGGGAGGGGGCCACCCAGGTGTCGACGGGGGGGGGGGGGGGGATGTGAATGCCGCCCAGTGTTTGGGGCCACAGGCGCTGGGGGGCCTGACAAATGGGAGATCCGGGCTGGGAGATCCGATTCTGTCCGCAGGCCCCGGCCCCGAGACGCACAGGCATGACACTGCACACACACACACACACGCACACACACACACACCACACGGGCAGACGGGCCGTGCGTACGCGCCCCCGAATACCCAGAACGCGTGGGGGGAGGGGGGGCTCACGGAGAAGTGCGCCAGCACACGCGGGTCAACACAGGCCGAACTGGGCCCCATTCATGCGATCATGCCGGCTTGCTCAGCGCCCGGCAATTGTTACGTCACACATCCATGGATGGATAAATGCATGCACAAGCTGGCGTCCCGGTCCCCTCCTTGGCCCCCCCCCCTCCCCCGCTCGTCCGGCGGTCTGCCTACTCCGGCTGTCGGTCGGTCGGTCGGTCGATCGCAGTCCTGGCCTGTGGTGTAGTGTGGGTACACACATGCGTGGCTCCCGCGAGTGCCCCCCGCCCTCTCTCCCTGCTTCCTCCCCCACGGGCCGGTGTCTCGCTTCCCCTGGCCCCCCTGCCCGCCGCTTCTCGGGCCTGCAACCCACTCCCGCCCAAGGCTCTGGGAGAACGGGAAACGCGGGGGGGGGACGGGGCCCAGGTGGTGAGGCGGCCTGGGGAGAGAGGCTGGGGACCACGCAGCCCGTGGCATCCCCAGAGAAGGGGTCGGTTGGTAGGTGGGCCCATCTGCACATCCAGAACCACCGGCGCCCCCTCATGACAGAACCCCCCATTACGTGAAATGGAAAGGGGCTTAACCCGGTTAAATAGGGGTATATTGTGGGCCACAATCTTTGACCACCGCGCGGAGGCCGGAAGAACGGGCGCGGCGCGAGCCGTCGAGGAAAGCGGGCAAGAGGCAACACACGGCATCTGTGGAGTTCGCAGGCTTCGAATGCTCGGATGGGCGAAGAGGGAAGGCCCATCAAAAGAGGATCCAGGAGGCCCCTGCGAGAAGGAGCGAGAGGGAGCACCGCATCCTGCGCGCAAAAAAAAAAACACCCCAACCCAAAACAAACAGGCCGATTAGTTGGGCCTCCACCCGGGACACAAGCCAAGGCGCGAGGGCGAGCACACGGCGGGCCGGTGCCGGGGTCCAAGCTCCTCAGTCGGTGGCCGTCGGCGCCGGGCCCAAGGAGTCGGCCCGCTCGTAGACATAGAGATACCCGTGCATCAGAGGCGGGTTTTGGCTCAGGGCAACATGGCTGTCATTGAAGATGACCCAGTCGCAGTCGGTGTCATCGTCGCCAACACGCACATGGCACACATAGTGCCCGGAGGCCGCGGACCGGCCCATATGGCTGACGAAGGCCCGCAGCCGGTACACCGGCTGGCCGTCGGTCAGAGGCCCGGCGGCGGTCGCGGAGCCGGACTTGCCGCCACTCTTCGGCGGCGCCTCCGGCGGCATGTCGTGCCCGTGGGTGAAGCTCCACTCGGCCGAGCGCTCGATGTCGCCGCCGCACTCGCGCAGGGCCCGCTCGGCCACATTCCGCTCGATGCCCAGAGACATGAGCATGGCAATGGACTCGTCGTCCAGGGCCGGGCCCGGGGCGGCATCGGCCACCGCCCCGGCCGGTGCCGGGTCCTCCTCCGGCAGCGGCTGGTCAAAGTCCATGTCGTCCATGTGGCTCAAGTACCAGTCGGTGGCCTGCTCGATGGTGACCGGCACGCCGCCGGCGGTCGACCGACAGGCCACCACCGCCCGACGGCTGGGGTTCACCCCGAAGCCCAGATCCAGAAGCTGAGCAATGACCGCCTCCTCGGCAGGGGAGAAGCGTGGCCCGGTCGCGGCCGGCGACTTGTCCGCCCCGCCGTCCGAAGCCTTGCTGTCATCCTCCTCCGGCAGCAGGGTCTCCCCCGGGCCGGGGGTGGCCGTACCGCGCAGGAACCCCAGGTCCAGGGTCAGGGGCACGTCGATCAGCGCGTCCACCTTGACCGGCTGCCAGTTGTCGTCGACCGCGAAGCGCTGCATTTGCAGCACCAGCACATCCGGGAAGTTCAGCATGCTGGCGAATTGGGTAGCCGGGCCGCGGGCCTTTGTGACCGGCGACAGATAATCCTCGATGACGTCCACATCGTTGAGAGCTGCATACGAGGGCAGGAGCAAATAAAGGGAGCGAGGAGGGAGGCGGAGGCGGAGGCGGAGTGATGGTCAGAGGGGCTGGCAAAATGGCGCAGGGAGGGCCAGCTGGCTGCGCACCGGACAGACAGGAGAGCAGCGGCACGACCGGACGCTCGGCGGCCGGGGCGCCCGGCTCGGCGGCCACGGCATCCGCCTTGCTCAGCGGAATGTGCAGGCTCAGGCAGTTCTCGGTCACTGTGGTGAACTTGACCTGCTCGGACTGCATGCACTGGAGCTTGCTGACCAGCTGGAACTGCAGCCGGGTGTGCGGCTCCGGCAGGAGCTGCGGCATCAGGGCCGCCGGCTTCAATGTGTCCAGGCGTTGGCGCTCCTGCCCCAGGGACTCCAGCAGGTGGTGGATCAGCTCCATGGCATCCTGCTGTTGCCCAGTCGAGAACTCGGCATGCCCGCGACCGAGGCGCGTCTTGAGGGTGACTGGCGCGATGGCACCATCGGGCCCGAGGCTTCATGGGGGGTGGTCGGACATGTTAGCAAATCCTGGAGGAAAGCCGGAGGCCCACTGTCGCGGCTGCCGCATCTGCCGCTGTCAGCATCGGGGGATGGCCATGCCTTTTGTCCGCCCGCCCGCCCGCCCGCCCGCCCGTCCCCCCCATACACACGCTCTCCCCCTTCCTTCCGCGATCGCACCTGGTCTTGTCAGCCGGCGAGTAGCGACCAGAGAGAAGTCCATGAGCAGCCTTGGCCATCTGCAGGGTGAGGTCCGCCCGGAGGGTGGCCCCGTCGCCGTTGGCCGCGCCGAGGGCCCGCTGCACCAGCATGGTGTAAATGCCACTCCCCTCGACCGGGGTGTCGAGGCCGATTGGCGGCCGGCGCTCCCCGGCCACAGCGGTCTTCTTGCCCTCCAGCGACACGAGGCTGGCCATGCGGGCCAGGCTCTCACGCATGTTGTCGGCGCCGAAGTAAGCCCGCGCGAAGGGGTCCGTATGGAAGAGCGCCTGCAGGGCGCTGGAGAGATAGCAACTGTTGCCGAAGTTCTTCAAGCCGGTGAAGCTGTGCCGGCGGCCAAGAAGACCAGGGAGGAGGGGGGGGGGGAGGCGGGGAGGGCGAGTAAAGGCGTGAGTGCCGGCTGGCCATGCCAAGACAGGGCACGAGGCGAGGGACCCGGTTCGGGGGGGGGGGGGGGCAACATACCCCGGCCCATAGAGCGGCTGCAGATTCTGCCCGGACTCCTGGATGACGTCGAAGTCCAGCTGCATGTTGCGCTCGATCTCCAGCTCGGAGATGGTGCTCTCGGACTTGGTCATGTCCTGCACGCGAATGCCAAAGTGCGCCAGGTAGCGGGCCAGCGCCGGGACCCGGACCATGTCATCCTCGGCATACGAATACACATCGATGCCGTCCATGTTGGAGGAAATGGTCCCGAGCTTGACGCACAGGGGATACCGCGTGGCTTCGAAGTGCTGGCGATGGCCGCCAGCCGCAGGGCAGAGTCGTCAGTTGGCCATGCTTGATAGCGAGCCCGGCAAAGTGGGCCAGACTCCGGGCAGGGGGACACTAGCGCGCACCTCCAGCGCGTGGCCATTGCCACCGGTGCCATCCCAGTTGCGCCGGCCACAGAGGATGGCCCCGTCGGTCAAGTTCATCCACAGGTTCTCGGTTAGGTCGCACTTGGAGCACTTCCACCCGGTGGGCGGCACGCGCACGCCGTTGTCCAGCTGCTCCAGATTTTCGGCGAACCTGTGTCCGATGAGGGTGCACGGCCGCCAGGCGAAGCCCGAACCCCGGGCCAGGAGGCCCGCCCGAGGGACAGAGGACGGTCAGAGGCCCTGGCCAAGGAACACATGGACATGTGGCGCATGTGCATGGGCGGAAGGAAAGGGAGAGACATCGGGGGAGGGGGAGGGGGGAGGGCAGCGCACTTGGAGACCGCGATCGACTGGTCGGCCACCCAGGTGTCGACGAGCTGCTGGGTGCCAGCGCTGGTGGCCTTGAGAATGGCCTCCAGGGCGGCCGTCACATCGGCCGGAATGTCCGCGCAAGGGAACGGCACCGAGGGACCATCAAAGTCCGGGGCAAACACCAAGCGATGGTGATCCTCATACTGGGATTGGGGCCATGGGGGGGGGGGGGGGGGGGGTAAAGAGGGAGGGAGAAAAAGGGCGAAAGCGAAAGGCAAGGACGTATGGCCGAGGACAGCACACACGGGTCGCAGGGGGGGGGGGGGGGGCAGACTGTTAGCCGGCGAAAATGGGGGGTTGGCGCTTTTTCCGATCGTGCAAACACACCACGATGGCAGGCTCGTCGGCGGGGAAGCCGCCCTCAACACCGATGCCCAGCACGCGGGGGCGCTTCTCCGGCGGGGGGGACTGGGAGATGGGCTGCTTGGGGGGGGGGGTCAGGGGTGAAAAGGACGGAAGGGGTGTGTTGGCGTCAGGAGGACCGGCAACCGGAAGAGCCCCACGGGCCGGGCTGACTGGAAGCAATGGCGGCGACGCACCGCCGACTCCGGGGACTCCGGCTTCTTGGGGGTGGACACCAGGTGCAGGTAGACGGCCTGCTGGGTAATGTCCTGGTCCATGCTGACGAATGGCCGGCCGTAGGCGACATGGGTCTTGAGGCTGGGGTCCACCGGGGAAGGAAATACACAACAGGAGGGGGAGAGAAAGAGAGGGAGGGAGGGAGGGAGGGGGCGCGCGCGGGGAGGGCGGGTCAGTCGAGCGTCCACCAGCCCCAACGAGGGGGCAGCTCCGGAGGAGGGCAGGGGG